TTTGACGGAAGCACGAGCAGAGAGGGAAGCTATGAAAAAGGAAACGCAGCAAATGATGTTACAGGTTACTGCGTTTTTCTTAGAACTGAGATGAAATTAGGGTTTTATATGAGATTTTCGTCGAGCTGATCAGATTTCGGTTGTATTTTTCATCACTCGTTTGTTTTAATTATCTTATTGGCACTCGCTCACGAATTCGGCTACTTTTATTCCCTCTCATATAGGAAGTGGAATCTTTTTCTCTTCTTGCTATTGTACTAAAACTTCCTCTTTATTTTTCGATGATCTGGTATAATTTTGAGCTATTTCTCGACGCAATCGCAACCCGAGGTAGGCGTGGCGGGTGTGTGTCATTAGGTCTAACCGGGGAGACGGGCGTTAGGAACGATTTTGGGTAATCGACTGGCGGCTGTCGCGGACCATTCATTCGCCGTTATTACAGCTCTAACGTTCTGCATACAGCTCAATCGATATGCGATCATTATTTTATGCATAATTCTACTATTATAATTTTGTTCTTGTGTTTTTTACCTACTACTGCATCCTACTACATCCCTTCGCGCGCGACGTCCCTCTCATCGCGACGCGACAATTTCGTTCCTTCTGCACCACACCCGGTCTAACCGTGTCGTCTTTCATATTTCAAAATTGAAGTTCATTTCCATAACCGATTCGGTCACCCAGCACATTTGAACGTGACTTTCCTTCTCGACGCTGTGTTGATGCACCGCAAGTGGTGAAACGTCAACTTCATCCAGTAAAGTACTCAACTTCACCCGCGTCATTCATCTCCTTTCGCTCTGAGGATGGAATGGCCACCGACGGTCTCTTGAGAACGTGAATTTGTGACGCCTGCGAAAATGTCTTTGGTTTTTTCCCGACGAATGATTTACCGCTGTCAATCAGCTCCCTAGCGTGAAATGAAAAAGAAAAGTAGCTGCTGCTCTTCAGCCAGGATAAGAAAGGAATTTGCGGGATTTTTTTGAGTGAGTGATTCCAAAGAGAATCTTTCTGAACCCCTTATTTTCATTTTTTTCTTGATTTACTTGTATAGTTAGGCTCTCTTCTCTGTTTGGCCTTTGGCAACATTTTTTGCCACAATGTGAAGAAGAATGAATGAGAATTAAAGGCATGTAGAGGGCAGCTCCCTCGAGAAGCACTCGAGAATTTAAAATTGGTGACGAATTCCAGTAGGAGAAGAAATGCAAGGTATAAAAACATGAGGAAGGGATTCTGAGAAAAAGGGAACGCTATTAAATTATCGGCTACTCGGCTAACGAGGACGTCTTTCTTTTTTTTTTCTCGTAGATTCGCTTTCTCTGTCATGTCTCAGATCTCTGTGAACACCCAGGTTTCTTTAAAGTGTTTGACGTAGGCTACCGTGTTTGGAACTAGGAGGGGTTTGCGGGCATCTTTGGGATCGATTTTCTCATCAAAGTTTTTAGGAGACTGATATCCGTCAAGCTGAGAAATGGGAGTTGAAATCGCGTACTTTTGACCTAACCCTAGTTGTAGAGCCTGAGATTATCTCGTCCCTCACCTTTACTAGGAAAAGCATGTAGAGGTTGTGCACATCGATGGCAAGATTTGCGTGCCCAAACAACTTGTTTTCAAAGATGCGTCCATCTCGGTGGCGACGAGTTATGGCCTCCTGAGTATAACTTATCTTTCTTAGAGGAACGATCTGCGATAAAAAATAACTCTCGAGAACCTACATTGGCATTGTTGGGTTCGAAAACCAGGTTGGGCTCAATAGAGTCAGGTGCAAAAACTGTTGTCGACACCCACGGTTACTCACCCCTTCCAAGAGAGAACGTATTTAGCCGTTTTGAAGAGGTTGACTGTATTCGAAATGGAGCACGATTGTTGTAAAGGCAGCCAGCTGGTACATGGCCAACTCGCGTTGCTCTTCAGCTTGCCCAAACACTCTCATTGTTGTCATGACCCCGCCAATCCTAAAAGGAATTAGTTCAGAGAAGGCGTAATATTCAGAGTTCCGGCGGATTTCTTTGCTCTCTTCGCCATTCATGAACTACTCTTCATTATTATTTTGGTATCACTGTCTGATGAAGACACAAGAAACTGTTGTTTTTGGATCGGCTCGAGGGATGAGAAGGAAGAAATTCTTCCTTTCATTGGTGAATTGAATTTTGAGATATTCCCAGTAATCGACTTGGATTAGGAACTGAAACGGCTTTTGGATTCATGTTCCTTTCATATTATTCGGAATGACTTACGATTGGTTTTTCTGTCGAGTTTATGACCGATTAGCTGGATTTTGAGCATTAGAAGCATTGTTTGGTAAACCAAGTACCTAGATTTGATCCCGACCGCATGGGTGGTATCAGTAACTTTTGGTACTAACTTGTCTCAACGAAATGCCCCTGCTCGTGTGTTCCTGAATGAGTTTTGAATAAGTTTGACCAACCATTTTACCGGTATCATTTGCAATATTCTGAAGTATTAGCTGGCCGAATTCAGCTACAGTTCCTTGAAATACTAGGAGTAGGACGGAGGTAGTGCTGTAATGCCATCACATGGAACGTGCAGGGAAAACAACCCTCTTTCCGTGGACTTACTGACTCCACACTCATCAGAGGGATAAAAGCTTTGGCATGCACCTTGGCCATCACCACAGGTCATTGTCGGTATCAGTACCTGTAGCGCATTCCATAGAAATCCATTCACACGATTTCGAAGCGAAGGTGGACGCATGGCGTTTCCAGCAAAGGATTGATGAGTGCTGTTGCTCATCCTTATTTGAATAACACATGATATCGTACTATTTTATCAAATTTTGTTGGATGGAGCTCGCCCATTCTGATAACTTTGGATCGAAAATTTTGGCAATTGCAAAGTAACTCCTCGATCTGCAGCGATTTTTATTTCCCATTTTGTGACTAAGTTCGAGATTTTTATGTTGGAACTTCGACTCTTTGAGGTTTCGTTTCATTTTCATGATTTCACTATTTCCTTTTTTACTATGGACATTTCCCTGCTGTACGCTTCCCTAGTGAGCTGAATGATCTTTGAGCTTTTGCTGTGTTGCCGTCCAAGCATTCCAGTCATTTTGTTCCACGCTTATGATTAAACATCATGCGGACAACAACCTTTTCATATATTTCCGGTGCATCTTGGACGCATTCCATAGCCTAAGTTGTTCTCCTGGATGGGGATCTGGCACACGAACATTGCCGAATTATCATGGTCCTCGAATTTTCGTTGAGTCAAGATAGGTGGTTTTGCTTCTAGCTCCTGCTTGGTCCCTAGGTGCTCGACATGACATTGTAAGACCAAAAATCGAATTGGGGAGAAGCTGCTTATCCCTCGACTATATTCACCCAGACGACACGGTCTGACAGAGGATGGAGCATGTCGTCATAAAGAATAGCCTCGTCAGTACGGTTGGCTTGAAGTACATAACACATACAACCCGTTAAACCCCATTCCTTCTGAATTCTGAAGATGGAATTCTTCTGACAGTGACTTGCGTGTAGGAGGCTATGCGTTTATCTTCCCAGACCAGTTAGGTAAATCTGTCAGGAATGGACGCACCCTAATGGCAAGGAAAGTTGGTTGGTCGGGTAAGAATCCGTATTTTGATCCCTGAATGATGCGTGTGATAGTGCGCCTCTCTCCACTGTACCATTTCGGCGCGGCATGACAACTTCTTCTCACTATTTGTCAAGTCTCTACCTTAGTTTCTACCAGATGAGGTTACTCCCTCTCAGGGTTGTGAGTATGGGAACCTTTTCAATCTAACCATGAAATCCGCTATACCCGACTGAACTTGATAGCCTAAAATTGAGGTTTTGATTTATTAATGGGCCTTACCTAGTCGAAGGGTTTGAAAAGGTTTGAGACTCACGCTTTGTTACGAACTACTTACCATAGGATTTCTTTGGAAAAGATGGAACCCAAGATTATCTCCCTTCCTCTCCCCTTCCTTTCCTGTCATTGGGTTTTTGTTTTCCTTGACGAGCTCTGACGCGCCTACCTTATACCTCTTATGGCTTTTCCAAGGATGGACTTTCCTAAGTGGAACGTCACAGCACTTTGTTAGCCACTTGAAATGCCCCAAAATACGGATTCTCCAAATTCGAGCCTCTTACACTTTCGGAATACTCTAGAAAGTGTCAATCGCTAGAAGAGTGGTGGGAGTGGGGAACATAGGTTTTATATACTGGTTTTAATTCTTACTGTTCATGAATCCGCACTCACAATCACATCTAATCCCTTTCACTTTCTCTAAAAAAGCTCTCATAGATAGCATCCCTTACTGCGTGTTTGCCCCAGTTGCTACTCTACCATGCAACGTATGATCACCTGTTTGTTGAAATTCCTCTTTGTTTTCCCTCTTTCTTCTATGTTCTGGTTTTTATTTTTCTCATTTTTTTCTTTTCTTTTGCGACATATAAAAATCACTCTTCACCGTCGTCTGGTTCTCAAGTACTTTTGTTTTCCCCTTTTGAACTTTATTTCACTTCAACAAGTATCTGTCTAAAAAATTTAAAGAGGAGATATAGGGCTTCTAAGAAGTAGCAAAATTAGGGGTTGTACGAGAATGTGACGACAAAAGCTGCATGGGAGTGGCATATGGACGAGCTGTTCATATGTGGATACCATTGCTGCCCACAGTAAGCTGTCTGCGCGCAACTTCTGAGTCCCGGCACGAATGGTGCAACCTCCGCAGAGTTACAATGTCGTGAGAACTCGTCCACCTTCGTGTGTGTACGTCGACTAGGCCGCTTTTGGAGCCTTTGCAAAGCTCTGCCGAGGTCGTTCTTCTACTTGCTAGTTTCCTGTGGTATATCGTGGGTCAGAAGTCCATCTTAGAGGGGAATCTCACAAACCATTTCCATCATGAACTGTACCCTTAATGAAAATTCGATCCAAGAACAACAGATTTTTGTTCCTTTTCTTGCCTGCACCGAACATACATCGTTTACAATCTGATTATAGGACGTTAAATTGTTAATAGTGATGGAAAGATTTGAGGAATGACTCAGCATATAACGGCTGTGGGTTATAATATGTGGGCATTTTCGGGATACCATTTCTTTTCGAAGCGCCCAGTTTTGAAGTAATAGCTTATGGAGGCTGATCTGCTAGGTAGCAACTTGCCTTATTTTCACTTTTGATTATTTTAATGATTCATATGTTTTTTACTTTCGTTCCTTGTGATAATTGATTATAATTGTAAATGACAAGTAGTATAATAATAATTGATGAATAATAATATTCGATAAATGTGACAATAGTATTTATAAAATCAATAGTAATCTAAATAATAGTAATAGTAATAATACCACAAGGGTTAACGGTAATGTAAGGGATAAAAACACTGTGCCGGCAAAGCACAACTAACTTGACCTGTACATATTTCCGAAATTTCATAGCTTTGCACTCTAGTAAGTTCTATTATATAGATTTTTGTGGTTATTTGAGGGGTTTTTTTCTAAGATACTCGAGGTTTCAGGTACATAGCCTGCAATGTCAATTGCACGCCAAAACTGCCCCACATGAATCGGATATGATCAAGAAGAAGTTGGTGAGTACAGATTCCTAAATGTAACCGGTTAGTTGTGACTTATCTGGTTTTCGAAGGATATCAGGATACTTTTGCTTCTTTGTTTAGTCTGGGCAGGTGCTGATCGTATTTGAGATCAGGGTAAAATTGGAGAAAAATATAAGTTAATACAGCGGTATAATAATAATTATAAAGGAATATAAGAATAAATACATTACCATTCCAGGACACCCAAATCGGACAATTACACGATGTGTTAATGCCATCATTGCGTACCGAATGTGAACTCGAAGTACTTCGAAAAGAATGTGATCGACAACGGCATTTAATCGGAGCCTTAGAAACGGAGGTGTTCGGTGCTCGATTAGCCGCCAAGTACCTGGACAAGGTGATCTTCAATTTTTACTTTTCGACCTGTTCAAAATACAAAAGTCAAATCACGCCCATACTTCATCCCTAGTTCAAATGAGAACGTCATTGACAGTGGGTTGTCTGACTTTGTTACTTAATAGTCCAGGAAGATGGGAGCAGGCTCAGATCACGAGTAAAGTGATTCAGGGTATTTAGCCTACCTCCAGAAACGGATTTCATATGTCCCGAAGAACTGACTATTACGCCTTCGTCACCAACTCCGCCTCCGAGTGGACGTGCTGACACGGCTTGTTCAGGATTCGTAAGATTTCATACGTGGATATAGGAACAGTAATGGCGCAAGTGTAGTAGAATCGAGATAATACTCGAGAGAAAAAGCCGAGTATTTGCTTCTGCGTAAACTCGACCAAAATTAAATATGGGTCAGGATTAGCTCCAAATTGTATTCCACTCACTAGGGATGGCCTGGGGCGGAAGATTCTTAAGCCACAATTGGTCGTCGTAGATAATCTAATTAGAGGTCATAGCCAGAGCCAAGGGTAGGCGCTGTTTCTGATTGTAAGCGGCTCTGCCCTATTTTTCTCAGTTTGAGGGATAGTTTCGCCAGGATAGGATTGCTAAAGATAGAGGCTTCCTTCACATTTTCATGAGTTCTTCACAAAGGGAATAAGCGAAGCAGGGTAGGGCAACTCACTTGACAATACTGGTAGGAATTGATTGCGTACCGGGTAGTGAATTTCCTAATTTTTTTGAATATTTTCAAGTGCTACACTTTAGCATTCGTTAGAATGGACCCAATGATATAACTGGGCCAGATGGATTTAAAATTACATGCTTCCACCTGATTACATCACCGTTCGTAAAGGGGGTGAGTGAGTAGTCTGATAGTCAACCGTGGAGAAGAAGTGAAAACTATGGGTGTGTGGCAAAAAGATGGTGGATAGAATGGTCCAGCGCTGAAATTATGCAGACTCACCGACGTCATCCTCGACTGCTTACCCATCTCCACGCCCCTCATACTCAGAATACTGAAAAAAATTGACTCTGAAGGTTGTTCTGACAGATCCTTTTTTATCTGCATTCGAAATCGATTCTGTTCAGGAGTTGGCCGGACGTATCCAGCAAATACAGCTGCTTGGGCGAAACATGCGTGGAGTTGAGCACGACCGTTTGTGGAATCAGCTGGAAGCAGAAATTCATTTGCATCGTCACAAAACCGTAATCAGGGCGTGTCGGTGAGTGCGTGGATGTGCTTGTGTGGGTGTGACTATAAGCAAAGCCTTTCACTAGAGATTAAATATTCGAATAGTAACCGATAAATGTTGGAAAAAGGCGAAAAAAGGGACCCTTTGGAGCTACTAGGGCCAATTAGTCATGAGGGGGCTATCATATCGAGTCAGCAATCACCAGCAGAGCTGGTTTGTTGTGGTGCCTATAGCTGCAATTGAAGCTGTAGCTCGAAAACAGCCGAAAACTTCTTTTTGATTATTTTGAGAATAATAGGACTTTATTTTCTCCTCCACGTTAAGTTCTGTAGATCTTGTAATTTTAGTTGTAAGAAGTACCCTTTCTGAAGGCCGTAGCTTAGCCACTTGGTGAGATTGGAGTTTTGGGTGAAACTTTGTGCTGGACGCTCATAAAATAAATTCAAAAAGAAAGAGGAAGGAACAAAAAGGATCTCTTTTGCTGTACGTAGGAAAGTCGTTTCTTTCAGCCACGCTGAGATGAAATTTTTTGAGAACCGACTGACCTGCTAGATCTTATCAGAAAGTTCTTTTGGTCCTGTGAGTGGATCTCTCTTGGACAAAGAAATACCGAGGTCGAACCTTTGGTTCTGGTGATTCTCCCCTGAAATGTGCCACGTATCCAGATTCGATTCAGAATTGCAAGGGCGGAGAGCATTGAACCTAGACATTCCATTACAGAGACCACTTGTGGGCCTGGTGCGTAAACCACTCTTTTCACCGAAAGATTTGTTGCTAGTTAGTCCGGCTTTTGTAAGGATTACCCTACTGTGTAAAGAATTGTAGTCGAATGTAAAATGATGTGGTACAACGTGGTGACTCAGTGCAGAAAAATTAGGATTTTCAGGGGTCGTGGACAAACGAAAGGGTTACCCACACCACCAATGAATAACTGCAATCAACCAATCAAGAGAAGGAGAGGAGTCGGTGACACCAGGAAGGTCGTCCTGGCGAAACAACCGCACGAAGGACTAGGAATATCGATTACGGTAAGATTATTTGTGTTGATTTTCTTTCCCCTTGGAGAGGGATTTGGGGAGGTAGGCTAGGACTTCCTCATTTTCCTGGAATGCGCTCAGCACCTGGTTTTCATTGAGAAATATGTAGTAGAATTCATATGTGTTTGGTCTATACTTTGGTGGCTTGCCGGTGTACAGACTGTGGTTTTATACTGTGAAGGGTCTATTACATTCAGCTAGACGATCTACAAATAGGGACTCTTATCCTCCTAGACGTGTCTAGTACCAATTAACCGACTCGAAGGGTTGGTAGGCCTAGTTGTCTTATGCTAAAATCGGTCCGGGATTCAAACTCAAGACCATGCATATGTGATAGTGCGCCGCTTGCCGTTATACCACCTCCACTCTATCGCAAACTATATTTGTAATAATTCTAATGCAGCCATACAATACCAAACATTACACATTACATTGTAGAAGTTTTCCAACTTTCGTACTTGAGACTTAATAATTGCAGGCACTTTGACGCTCAAATCTCAGCCTTACCCTGTCTTTCGGCATCTGTTGAAGGTTTACCAATGTCATTCCAATCTTTCCTATCCAGTGGCCGCATTGAGCGTGAAATTGAACTCTTACGGAACTCATTGAGCAACAGGGGTGAACCCAGATGCTGACATTGCCTATTGATGGACCCACTAGTGTAGTGTAACGTCCAACGCGACCACTTCTTTCCTACTTTGCTCAAACGGTCATGGTTTTGCTCTGGTCTAAGCTGTCATTCATTTTCAATCTGAAAGAGAAAAATAAAGGTTATTGTTTTTTTTCCAGTAAGTGCAACATTTCAAAGGTGATATAGACTGGTGAACAAAGGTAAAAAGATTTAGGCGATGCATTACTACGCACATGTCCTGGGGATCGAATCCAGGTTCGAAAGACGCCTAGACCAACAAAGCTTTTATCTCTCCGGTAGCGGCTAATTGGTACTAGACTTATTTGGGAGGGTAGCGGCGCTAACTTGTAAATCGGGTAGTCATCGTAAGTGAGAGTATAGTTCAAGTACGATGCATTCAAATGCCGCTATGATTCTGAACGGAGGACGACAACGAGGCGCATCCTAAAACGGGGTTAACTGGTGCAAAATTAAGTTTTGCTTTTCATTTTTCTGGTCGAAATGGAACGATTTTCCCTCCAACATTATAGCTGTCCCTGCAAAAAATGAAAGGAATAACAGTATTCTTTACTATGACTTTACCATGTTGTTATGACTACAATATGGAACATTACGGAAATCGGCTTGATTCAGGTTGTATAGTATAGCGGATTATATCGCTTGGTTAGCGTAGACCAAACTACGTTAACATCAGTGGAAATGTTTTTTCGTGGAGCCATATAATCGAATTGAGATTCACTGTGTTTTGAATAACAAAGTCGTTCTACGGCTTCTAGTCCTTATGTGTCATTGTTTGTGACATAACTGACCCCCATAGGACCTTTACGTCCCTCTTTTGACGATGGAAACAAGAGGTGGAGTAGTGGAAAATGATGGCTTCATTGTCTGTTGACCTGATCCCTATCCAAAATAGGACAATCAAGCAACTAGCTCAGTTGAGTGAAACAAGATTCAATTTGATTGATAATATTGGTTCTGCGTTTACCGTTTCCCGAAAATCGTCCTATGGTCCNGACTTTCAGGTCACCTTGACTCTAAATGAAGGTTGAGTTCGCGGCGCATCCAAAATCCAAGCCCATGTGAAATTCAGTGAATCACAAGTGCCAATGCCAGTACCATACTGCCTGTATAACTCAATGCTTTTATCCTCCGAGATCGTTCTGGTAGACACCAGCCGAATCCTGAGTGATGGGCCTCACTGGCCTTTCCAAAATTCAATCCCTGGACCGGTGCCCAACCTTGGGAGTAACGATGCGTCTCTTACTTAGCTTTATACCACGTTATCTCCAGTAGAATAGATGTGGGTAGAAGTCTTTGAAGTGCCCTTGAAAACAGTCAAGTAAACGGTAATCCGATTGGGGAAATAAGTTTTCTGAAAGCTTTTCGAAGTACTGGAGGCAGTGAAAAGTAAGTATGTCCAAGTAGTTGGTTCACAAAAATGCGGTGTGTCACCTGGCAAAGTTGCGTGCTATTGCCGGATCCTTGGTCCGGGGATCCATAGAATGATTCCCTCAGGCCAACCGAGTTCTATCTCCTCTGGGTCGGGTAATTGGTGGACGACTCTTTTGGGAGGATGAAACCAGTGAATTGTACATGGGCTGGCCACTCGCAGTCATTGTATGGGCCCCATACGCATTCAAAACGCCGCTATAACTCTGGATAGAAGTCGAAGGCAAGGGGCATTTCAAAAATGTGTTTGATCGAGGCCGTTGACGTTATCCTCTATCCTTCGATTCCCTGTCTCGGTTTACTGACAAGAATGAGATTCTAATCAATTACAGGGTGGATCGGAGCATGCTTTACCGATAGTGATATCCGAAATTCAACCCGGTCAACCAGCTCATCGTTGCGGTCAAATCTTCGTTGGTGATGCGATCCTGTCGGTAAACGGGTACGATCTGCGAAATGCCAAACATCAGGAAGCAGTCGAGATTCTCAGCTCACAGGTAATACTTGCCACTACTCTTAGCTATTTACAGTTAATTCACTACATTCAACGTCCACAGTTGTATTTTCGTCTTGCTGGCCCTCCTATAACTGTATCTAGCGATGCTAGCGCCAATAAAAGGCCTGTGTAAATAAAAATTATAGATGAACATTCTTTCTCGTTCCCAGACTGAGACAGGCCCCTGTAGGCGGTGAGGTAGCCTTCCTGGGGAGGAGAATATGCCATTATTTGGGAGAGGTAACTTTCGATGTCGTAAAGTTAGATTGTGTTGTTTAGTGTTGCTGCAGAATACCCAGCGAAATCACTACTCTCTATTGATGAATCGTGAGGCACATCGAGGTGTTCGGTAGTCCTACCTACTCAATCTCTGCTTCCCTCCCCCCTCCCTGGTCTTTCCCAGGGCGATAGTAGGACGAGAATTGTAATCACTTTTTTGGAGCGGGGCTCTGGGAGTTGTTCTCTTTTGAGAGTTGGCAATGAAGACTCCTTTTTTCTATGTTCCTCCATCTACTGGAAAAGAAGAGCCGCTACAGAGAGCTCCTATGGGTTTTTAAGACGTCCAACGACGAGAACGTTCTACTTTCAGCAAGGTGATCTGCATATGGAAGTGGTGTATGTGGCCCCTGAAGAAGATTCTGATGACGATGGAACCGTTTTGATCGAGGATGCCGACGGTCGAATGTGAGTATATAAAATAACTATAAATAACCATTTCTAACTTTTATGACCAGCGAAATATGTATAAACCTTTGGGAATTCGAGGTAAAAAAAAACGATTACTGCTGCATTATAAAAGCTGGTGTTGACTTTCCCCCCCCTCATCGCCCCTAACTCGTCCCTCACAGGGTTTTACAGCTCCTCGAATTTGAATAGTTGATGTCAGAAACGCTAAAAGTCTGCAGATCCCACTTTCTGCATTGACTGCATAGGTCTCCTGGTTGTATGTATGACCTATTGTTCCTTAAAAATCTCCAGCAGCTGTCCTTACGAAACTTGAATAAGTGGCGCATACTGTATATTTTTTCACACTCTCGAAAGACTTTGTACAGGGTTAGCTCGGAACAGGGGTGCGTTCAAAAAAAGTTCGAAAAACACCAGTCTCTTCCAATTTTGTCAATACGACCCATCAATTAAGCTTTAGTAGTACTCGAGAAATAGGCGAAAGTATAGAATAAAAGTGATTCAAAACACTTCAGTTTTCATTTTCGAGTCACACTTTGAATTCATATATTCATATGGTAGTTTCGATCAAGGTTGAAGAGAATTCGAAGAGAACCCATCCAAACACGGCATGGTGTTTAGGTATCCTATCAGATGGTTCATCAGTCGCTTCTGAGTTGTCCCTCACGTCAGAAAGCGAAATGTTCAGTCTATATAGACTATACAACTCTACCCCTGAGTATCAAGAAGTTGAAGTGCTTGGCAGCTGAAAACCGCCGATCTCCCCTCCCCCAAAGGTCCACTACTTTGTAAAATGTAGTGCACAAAGTGCCCGTGATCTAAGTGTACCTAGACGGTCATAAGGTCCAAGTACCGGGTGGTGTCTGGCGCCTAGCCAACTTGATACCCTATATAATACTTTCAGGACGATTTCTTTAGTCTTGTTCTTTCTTCAGGTTTTTCTCCAAGCATTATTGATTTATTGATTTCAGCTACAATATGTACAACAACTCAGTAGAAGAGCCATCATCAAGTCGATCATCAACGGCATCACATCAAAACTCAGAATGATAACTAGTTTTTTCGACGCAATCCCGAGTTTAATTATTTTTTAAAATATTTCTATGGCTAAAATTGGCTAATCGATCGATTTGATCGATTGTGACTCTTTCGGATAGTTTTGTTCCTCGAAGTTTATGAAAATTACCGATGCCATTTGTCCTCCCCTTTTTACGGCTCCCGCCATCTCAGCTCAGGATTTACCCTTCTACTCCTTTCCCCGGCTGCTTACACGGAATCCCCACTAATAATTTTGCGTCTTCTTCTCAGCTTCTAGTCATTCCACTTTTGTTGATCGATATCGATCAATACCACTAATGCCACTATCGATTCGGCCTCAACAATGTTTCCTGTCTATGCTGTCGTTTTGATAGTTCATAATTCAATTCTGTTCCTTTTTTTCATAATTGCCTGGTGATCGAAGGTGCCATCGAAGTGCTCTCCCCTTCCGTCTGTCTCGTCGTTTTATTTTTATTCGCCCTCTATTGTCATTGTACATACTTGTTCGATTGAGACTGAGATATTTTCCTCTTGCCGCAAATCTACGGTGCTATCTATGACGAGATTTTTATTTGTATAATAAAAGTTTTTCTGAAAATTGAGCTGTTCATAGTTGCTGTTCAAGAACAGCGGGTTTTGCCGTTCCGCGGACAGAAAAACTTTACAATTGGACTAGTTTTCCAAAGTTCCCCAGAGCTCGTGGACGAGTTTTCCTAAGCTCGTTCTCAAATCGAAGGAGTTCAAAAGTGCGATTTTTGATTTATTTTCGAATGTCGTTGCCATGATCATACTGCGTGAACACCTTGAAATCGTGCTAAATAGTATGGGACGAGTTTTATCGTGAAGAGAATCCGAACTTGCGCCTGTGCTTTCTGGACAACGAATTCATCCATTACACTACTGAAAATCCATGGAGTAGCATGTGACTAGTGACTTGTTGGGCTTGTAGGCAATATCAAGCAGCTCATTCGACTGGAATTAATCATCAAATGATGTTGGAAGGTTTCAATCGTCCGAGAATGGCGAGTTATGTACAAATCGCTTAGTCTCTGACAGTACTCGTTCATAGTATGTTTTTCTGGTATCGTGTTGTTTATCCTGTACACTACAGAAGCTGCAATTCAGCACAAGGTTCGGGAAGTGATTTTGAATTTGGACTTCGGTCCGAGAAACATATGAAAAGCAGTCCCGCGTTTTATTTACAGAAAAAATAGTTCAAATGCCGAAGACAGCGCTCCATACCTTGTGAGCCAAGGGATCGGCTCCAGCTCCAGTCAAATACGGCTTCTATCTGTCTAAAATGGCTTGATTGTTGCCACATTACTATGAGACGACTGATGATGACGCACATCGGCATAGTACAAGTAGGTTTTTATTTGCTTTATTTGNAAAAAATAGTTCAAATGCCGAAGACAGCGCTCCATACCTTGTGAGCCAAGGGATCGGCTCCAGCTCCAGTCAAATACGGCTTCTATCTGTCTAAAATGGCTTGATTGTTGCCACATTACTATGAGACGACTGATGATGACGCACATCGGCATAGTACGAGTAGGTTTTTATTTGCTTTATTGGCAATACACATAGTTATTCCCCTAAACGACAATATGGCAAATCCGAAACTGCTGTTGAAATCTAATTAAAAGTCTAAGCAGTCTTTTTCACGCATAGTCCAATTAAATTTCAAAAAAAAAATCGTCATTTATTAGATGCGGTTTTGCTTCTATTCGGTGGGAACTTCCCTGAAGGTTGTTGAGTTCATGCTGACGATTATCTTGATTATTGATTAGTTTACATACCCACAATGACCTACAGCGTAGAGCCGCTGTCGCAGACGCCCGCGCCACTTCACTAATATTAGTGCGAGCGATCAATAATATTGGTGCGAACGAATTTGCATGTAATCAAACTGGGTGATCCATAAATCATAATCTGCCTTTATAGAAATGAGGAACCAGCGCAATAAATCGCTCCGTAGAGTCCCTGAATGTTGATTTGATGTCGTATTCATGGCCATTCTACTAAAGATTCTCGTGCCGAACTTCAGTACTGGATTTTGGGTTTTTTATTGGACTAAATTATGCCAATATTAATTATCATTCCTACCACGTAGTCAGTACCATACTCTTTGATCTGTTTCTCTGCGTTTTTGTGGTATGTTTACACTCTCTCCTAATGTCTCTGCTTGTCTGTGTTCCCCTTCCTGACAGTGCTCTCTCTATGAGTTGATTCTGACGCAAATTGCCCGAGTTTCATCACAAACTGATTCAGCTCCTTTATGTTTGATTTGCTTCTATCTATAAATCAGAAAAAAATGAATGATCATCATACTCGTCACCGTCGCCGTCGTCTCCGTCATCATCGCTGTCTAGTCGTCGGCTGTAGTGCTTGGCTCCTATGTGTTTACATCAACATCTATCCTAATTCTTGTCAACATCCCAACTTTTCAACCCTTGACCATTGTCTCCTGATGCATCCACTACACTTTGAAAGCCAAAAATACATTTGCCTACCTGACGTCATGACCGAGCCGGACTTTAGTTTTTAACAAAATATAATTACTGCTGGGTAGAAATCAGGGGTACAGTAGGAAACAGCGTTCTGAAACAAGGGCAAAAGGAGGGACCATCGAGCTGGGTAGCACCTTGGCTTCGTCGAAATCGAAATTTTTAGAAAATAATGCACACACATTTATTATTTTTCTACTTTTTTTCATTTTGCCACAGGTGCCTGTTTTGCGAAAACTCCTGTGGGCACTTTATTAGCACCCAAACTCATCTGGAAATACTAGAAGCTGTGAGCTTCAGAAGACATGCCGTATCTGAATCAACTGCCCCTTCTCTACCGGGTGAAAACGGTTGCATGGCGCGTTTCGAATGGAATAGCCTGAAACAGACCGGTTTATTCCGAGCCTTTCCAATGAGCTTTCTCTGGGAACCCTACCCAATGATGTCCTTGTCATCTACCGTCCCTGCTAGACAGAAAGAAATCGTACGAGTACGAGCCCTTCTTGGGCGGAAACTCATCCAAATGTAGTTTTAGATCCAAATTTTAGTGGGATGCGTGGCTTACTGCCGAGAAGTTATGCCTACTTTTCAAAATTGAGGTCAATGTTGAAATTCCGTGTAACATTCTGTCGTACAAGGGGCTCGCTTCGTCTGATTCCCACCTCCGCTTTTGGCACGGGAAAAGTTTTTGGAATTCCACAAAAGAAGGGCCGTGGTCACGGGAAACAGAACCGGCTCGTTCGTCACTGTATGTGTGAGGCATTTCAATTCAGCTCGCAACGGCGGCGACCCGAACCCTTTTGCTTATCAGTGTTGACAATCATCGCCGTCGACGCCGCTGACGTCAACGGCGGCTTCAGAAGCCTGCCGCAGCATTACAGACAGAAGGCACTGTTTCTGCTGGCTATTAAGCCTCCATCTCCCTCCTTTGACGTCTGGGCCCCAACTGAACAATAGATAGCCCTAACTTTCAACAATCTTATTGGCGAATCATATCAACCACATAGAAAGTTACTTCCAGTTCTCCTTTCTGTTCTGTCGCCCAAGTAGGAGCAGTAGTGGGTCGTCCAGCTCACCCAGACACGGACGATTCATTCATTGTCCTTCGCCGGCTAGCGCAGCAGGCAGCAGCCACCGCGCCCAGGACGGGAACCCCCCACCCTGTCTCGATTATCGATCTCTCCACCACCGTCACCACACTACACAACCGGACACACTGTCACCTTGGGCGCATTACGGCATAGACCAATGGACATTTCAAGCTTGTAAACCAGCTTTTGACCATTTCCGACCAGTAGGGTCCTGTCCGGGAAGCTACTGTACCGATTTGTACCGGCCATGGCATGCCTAAGTTAATCGCTCTTGAGGGCGAGCTATCCGGAACCTGGTGGTTTCATAACATTTCATAGGCCAGTTGAAGCTGATTGGAACTGGGGGGGGGGGGGGGGGGGGGGG